ACAAGTCGTGGGAAGAAATGGACTAGATATCGGATTTGTTGGGGGGGGGGGGGGGTTCTTTTTTAAAGAAATTAATGCTTTCTGTTCAGCAAGGGTGTGATCAAAAGTGACAGACATAATTATACAAAATATTTCAAATAAATTCTGTTCATTTGAACTTTGTTCATCAAGGAGTCCTGGAAGAAAAAAATATGGAGTAATGGCTGCTGGTAACTGGAAAATGTACAATTACATTTTAAAATATATTAAAATTTGTTATTTTAAATGAAGAATATTTCATAATATTCAGACTTTCAAAAAAAATTGATGACCCCCAAACTTTTGAACAGTAGTGTATACTATAACACTTCATTGTTTTTTGTCAGCTGTGCACTGTGTGTTCATGTAGCACAAAGTAATGTGGGTGTTGCTAAAATAAATAAATAAAAGGAACATGGAAGAATATTTCTCCAACTCATTGTCTACTGTCAATCTTCATAAAATTGTTGTCGTAGAAAAAAATATGAAAAGTGGGTTGTTTTGACGGTTTGAACAAGTTCAGATTTGCAATAGTAAGCGTTATCGTTTGTTTTGCAGATTAGAGATCCTGAATGACAGGTTTTTAACAAGACTTTCCATGATATCATATTACATGCTGTGATTACTGTGAATCACAAACGAAAGTAGAAAAATATAAAAAAAAAAAAATGCAGCTAACGCAGATTCAGAATGTGCCTCTTTCAGCAAAATATGGATTACTCAGAAAAATAATTCTTGCTTTTGCTTAGTTTCACTATTGGGTTTAGTAGCACTTTTTTGTGTTTGTACAGGAAGTGCTTCTTTCCCAGCAGATAGCGTACCAGACTGTAGGCTCTCCATCTGTTGATAACATTCATGAACTCATTTGTGGCCCTAAATCACTTTACTGTCGCTCAGAATAAGAAAATCGAAATATCTTTATGTACTTGTAGATCAAAAACCTGATTGTTGCCGTTTTAGATTGAATTCTGAGGACTGTGGAAATGACACCACAGGAAAACTTGACTATTGTGGAAGAAGAGACGCAGCTGTATACCGTCTGTCCACATTGCTGATCCCCTTCGGTAATCCAGCAGGATTATTTGGTGTTACGGTGTACAGAGAGGACTCTTGAGAATGGCATTCCTTCTTTTTTTCACTCCTCTTCACCCTCTGTCCTAAGCCAGAACTGCGGCAACTGCTCCCACCAGCATGGAGACAGATGCTGGCCAACCCTAAATGTCAGTACACCTCGCCCAATCATTCAATTACAAAATAATACAGCCCCTTCCCCTCCCCCACACAGCACAGGAATGGTCTCTCCCACCCATTGCCCTGGACTAGTGCTCTTTGTCTCCCTCTGAAACTGATGCTGACTGTGGAACGAGCCATCACAAAGAAGCATGCATGGGAACTCAGCATAACCTTTGACCTCTGGAGCCAGGCGGAGGGTAGGCTGGGCACCTGTGCAGTGATGATGGAGGGCTGACATTATCTTGCCTTCCATCTGCTTTAGGCAATTAGAGTCAATCAGATGGGCTGATCTAGAATCCGCTTCCTTTTCCCTTTTCAAACCTAACGGCTCAAATCTGATTTCAGATTAGTGTGAAAAGGCAATTTCAAACATTATTTATCATGAAGATGGCTAAATGATTTTTAGGAGACAATAACCAGGGTGTTTATTCCTCTGCTGTGTTTTTGTGGCTCCTCAGATCAGTATTAGGATTTTGTGACATTAGTATTTCAATCACGTATTTTTCTTTCCTCTCTGGTGTTCCATTTAGCTAAGGAATGTTTTTCCTTCTATTTAAATTGGCTTCGGGAGTTCATTTCCCATTTAAGTGCTTAAATTGAAGTTGAATGATGGTGGGGGAAGATCGGATAATGTTGGGATTAGGAGAGGGAAGTTGGGAAAAGTTGGCAGGGTAAGCCAGTAAATTAACTAATGAACCCAAATATAAAAGCATGCCTGTGTTTAGTAAAGACTTGATTTCTAAAACACTCTGTGATCTGCAAGACCCCCATATTCTCGATTTTGTAAGATGATGGTTTTACTTATTGTTTAATAAGATCTTACCAAAAAAGGGTTTAGAATTTTTATTGTGTACATCTTAAACATCTTTTCCGTATTTAATTTTATTGGTTTTATTTAATTTTATCAGGTAGGTTAGCAGCAGCTTCCTGGAAGGGAAAGTTTTCAGTGATTTAATGTACCAAATATCTTGGCTTCTGTTAGATGTAACTTTACTGTAACTGTAAACTGCTGCCATTTGCTGATCTCACCTTCTTTGTCTCTGTCTTTCTCTCTCTCTTTCACAAACCCATCCACAGCTATGAAAATTTCTTCCTGTCCTGTTCTCTTACCCATGGTGGAGTGGAGCTTTGTGCTCCCCAGCACACCAGTAAACAGTCGGTCAGCAAATATCTCTTCCACCTGGTGGTGTGGGACCAGAGGTGAGCCTGACACAATCCACACACGCTACACAGTCCCATAAATACTATCTCTTTGAGGCTTGTCGAAAACAGTGGGCCTAAAGTTTGAACAGGTAGATCTAAGTTTGTTTACCAAGTATTTCAGACGTCATATTTGAAAATAGCTCATCCAGTTTAGCTTCCTGTGGCTGTTTTTGTACTCTGCCGCCTTGTTTTGTTTTGGTATTGTTCATGGGTATTTTAGTGGACAGTTGTCACTTTTTTTTTTTTTTTAATCCTCCATCCTGGGGAATATTTTAGGCTCATGTATGTAGGTGGGAGTATATGCTATTATAACTCCAAGTGTAGGTGTTTAAAAATAAAATGTTGTTCTTAGTTTTGAGAACAGACTGTAAGAATTATACTTGTTAAGTATTATACTAATTTTTAATTTTGTCTTTTTCAAAATATAGAGTTTGCTTCCCCATCCAGATCAACCAGTTGCCAAGGGAGTCACAGTTGACAGTGACACTATATGCCACCCCTCTACCGCCCCCTGGAGGTGCGGAGGAGAAGAGCAAGCAGAAACGAAGCATTGAGGCTTTGGGTTGGGTCACCATGCCCTTATTCAGCTTTAGACAGTAAGCGTGGATACGTTTTTTTTTTTAATTGCTGGCAGATGTTCACATTCTGTGCATTTGTCATTAATGATAATGGCTTAAGTGCATATTATACTGGAGGGCATGAAAACAGGCTCTTTAAGCACTAGAGTTCTGCTGATACTCACCTCCTACAGCAAAACAGTTGTGTGATCAGAACAGGCTGACTTCTTCAAGTCTAGTGCAGCCTACAGACACCACAAACACTCAAACAAGTGTGCACCAGTTCCTGAGCAGAAGTGACACATTGAAAAAAATATTGCTGTATCTAAAGCTGTGTAAATACAGAAGTAAAAGGAATTTGAAGACACATTGAACAAACATTTCATGGTCAAATGCACATCAAAGTCCAACTATATAAATAAAAGTAATACTTGAAACATTTTGTCCTTTTGACTTCCAACTTCATGGAAATTTGAACGGTTTAAAAAAAGTGCTTAAAAGCTGAGATTACATAAATTATTGATTTTGTAAAATTCTTAGGAAGACATTGTTAGCTTTAGGATTTTTTTTTTTTTTTTTTTTA